TGGGTGGGAGCCGCCGGCCGAGCGCAAAGCCGGCTCGCGCTCACCTGTGCAGAGGTGCGGGGAAGTCGGTTTCCAGGGTCCCCGACGGGACGTAGGGCCGGGCGCCCCCCCGCCGCAGGGTCTGCATGTCTGCCTGTGTCCCCAGGGACGCCTGCCAACAAGGCCTCTGGGGCCATTGTTGACCGTGACAAAGGCCACCCAGTGCCCTGGCAACGGCGGGTGGCCAGCCCTGCCCCCACAGCCGCCCCGCTGCGCCCTCAGCCCCGCAGGCCGCCCACACCTGGGGGCCGTCCCGCTCGGCCCTCTGCGTTTCCTGGCTGTCCACACGGCCAACGCAGGAGCAGCTGGGGCCTGGGGAGCAAGCGGAGCCAGGCCACCCACCCTCCTGCGTGAAGCACCCCTCCCAGGTGCCTTCACCTTCACCCAGGCCCTCCCGCCTCCAGGGCCCTGAAAACGAATTTTAACGTTTTATGCATACGGCCACATGTCCGCCAGAGGTGGTGAGAAATCCCCCGCTCCCCAGGAGATGGCCGCCACGCCGCCTTCGCCGTTCTCTGGGGACTTGGGGCACACATGCACACCAGCCCAGCGTGACTTTGAAGCCCCGGGTCTGGGGATGAACCCTGCAGGTAGCCACGTGGGACCCAGCCTTCACCTCCAGGCCACAGGCCGGCCGGTCTCTCCCTTATCAGTGACCCAGTCTAGGGCATGCAGAGGCGGGAGGGCAGACAAGGGCCCACCCACACGGGGACGGCGCACTCAGGGACAGATGCCAGACACGGAGGCCACGCGGCGTGAGCCCATTTATGTGAAACGCCCAGAAAAGGCAGGGCAATGGGGACAGGAGGGGCCCAGGGCGCAGGGGCTACAGAGGGGTGGGGTGACTGCTAGTGGGGACAGGCTTCTGTTGGGGTGACGGGACGTCCTGGAATTGGAGATGACGGTTGCAAAGCACTGTGAAAGTACCAGCGGCCGCTGGGCTTGCCGTCCACCCCGGGGTGACATCCCCACTTTCTGTGCACGTCATGGAACCACACGCGCAGATGCACCTGCTGGGCCTCGCGTCCTGCCCGGCCCGGGGCTGCTCTGCCCAGCATGTGCCCTCCCGTCTCAGGTCAGAGCCCAAGTCCACCGGGGCCGCCCCAGCAGTCCCCCAACACCCACGACCTCCTGCTGCGTCCAGCCTCTGCCTCAAACATCCTGGAGACCCGGGCTGAAGCCCCCTCCCAGGAGCTCCTGACCCTTGCCTGCGTCCTGCCAGTCACCCCTCTTCTGCACGGCCAGAGCCTCAGACCACTGAGCCCCCTGGCCACCCAGGCCTCCGCTCCCTCCACCCCACTTCCAAACCGTCCCTCTTCTGCCCGCTCCAAGTCCTGGCCAGCCTGCCCGTCCCTGCTCCCCACCAGTGCCCTCCCCGAGAGGCACACGGCTGCCCCGTCACTGGCCGCTCCCCCACGCCCCTCTGGCCCGTCCTGCTCGTCATTCCTCACGGGAAGGGACGCGAGTGGAGCTCTAGCCCACCCGCCCCTGACCTCCCTGGCCCCGCCACTGGCCCCATGGATGCTCCGTCCCTCTCCCCGGGGTCTGAGCGGCACATCTGCGATGGCCGTGCCAGGTCGTGGATCCCCTGCTCAGGCTCTGTGCTGGTGACAGCCTGGAGGGGCCAGTACCTCTGCAGACGCCCGAGGCCTCGGGGCCTGTGACTGAAGTCCAGGCCTGGCTGCCCCCTGGAGGGGACTCCAGGGCAGGGCTGGCCCTCACCCCACCCAGGACGGTGGCCAGCCTGCCCTGGCCGGCAGGGACCCATGACTAGTTTAATGACGGTGACACTACGTACATGAGACAGGCTCACTGTCCTGGGGTCAGGGTCCCCTCCTGCCCGTCCCACCCTGCAGCCCAGCTTGGGCCAGGATTGCCGAGTCTCAGGCCAGGGCCACAGGGGCCGCCTGGCAGGTGCCCACCAGGGCCTCCAGCCGGGCAGCTCAGGCTCTTGGCAGGGCAGGTGCCCACCAGGGCCTCCAGCCGGGCATCTCAGGCTCTTGGCAATCACAGGGGCTTGGGCTGGGGCTGGGGGAGGCGGGTCATCTATGAAGAAAAACTCAGACCAAAACAGGATCTTGACTGATGGAAACACACACGTATGTACATGGTGCCCCCACGCAGGGACACGGAGGCTGGGGGGGGTGTCTGTGCGGCAACGGCCCCTCCCGAGAGCCAGGGCTGATGCCGGCTCGGGGAGGTCGAGGGCAGCAGGCCGCGCACCCCCAGCCTTCACTGTCCTGGGACGGGTTGACAAGAGCACGCGACAAACCCAGAGTCACACACACGTATGTACACATGCACGCGGCCCGGCCCTCCCGCAGGCCAGGCCGCTCCCGACGGGAGGCGCGAGGGTGACAGGCAGGGACCCAGGATGCCCGTCCCCCTTCCTGGAGCAGTGAGGATGGACAGGGAGGAGGGGCGGGGAGGAGGAGGGCGGGGCGAGGTGCAGGTGCAGACCATGGCCGCCCTGGGAGGACGGTGGCCCGACCCGGGACAGCACAGACCCACAGAGCCACTGGCCCGCTGGCTGCCTGCCCGGGTGGCCGGTGTACAGTCAGTTCTCCCTCGGTGACAGTCCCCGGGCAACGTGGAGTCAGGTCTTGGGCGCAAGGTGGGAGGCCGTGCCGGGCACACGGGGCACCTCCTGCTGTCGCGCTGGGGCTCCGGCTGCGTGGGATCCGGGACGGCATGCAGCCCCGAGGCAGTGACGGACACGAGTGGAAGCAGGCGCGGTCCGGTCCAGAGCTCCGGGCACAGGCGTCGGGTGGGGGCAGCGGCACGGCTCTCCCTTCCAGAAGGCCGCAGAGCCGGATCCTGAGGGGCCCTCGGGGCCCTTTTTTTTGCAACGGCTGCCAATCAGTCGTTTAATGCGACTCTCCGGGTTCTCCAGCCCGCCCGCCCCGTGTCCTCCTGGCACGTGCACCGGGGAGGGCAGGGTCCATGCAGACGGGTGAGCAGGGGGTCCCCCGGGCGGCTGCGTCCCACCTGCGGGTTTACCGGATCCTGGTGAAGAGGTTGAGGACAGACACGGACTCCTGCGGACAAATGGACGTACATCTGAGCCCGGCCAGTGCCGGCCACCCCGCCTGGACTCGGGCTGGCGCCAGGCAGCTGGAGGGAAACTGAGGCTGCAGCCCTCGGGCCCAGGCGGCTAGGAGGTGCAGAGCAGGGTGCGGGCCTGGGCGCAGGGCGCGGGGCTGCCCTCCTGGGGGATGAGGGCGGGCAGAGGGCCCGGGGCAGCCGGGGGGCAGTGAGCGGCGGTACCGACTCACTTTACCTTTGTCGAGCGGGTCTTGCTGAAGACGTTCCAGAACCTCAGGGTCTCGTCTCCAGCCCCAGTGACGATGGCCTCCCCATCAGGGGACATTGCCTGCCAACAGGAGGGAGGTGCCAATGTCCCTGGGCCTCTGAGGGCGGCACCCAGGACAGATGGGGACGCGGGGGGTGGGGGGAGCCGGGCACAGGCAGCTGAGCCCAGAGTCCCGGCAGGCCAGGAAGGGACCCGGGAGGCCAGTCCTGTGCAAAGGGCATGCACAGACGATGTGTGAGCACGGCACGGGGCCCCTGGGAAGGACACGTGCAGCGAGGCCCTGGGCCAGGGGCGCCCTGAGCAAGCGGCGATTCTGAAACACGTCCCAGTCTCCGGAGCAGCCGCACAGGGGTCACTTTGGCCTTCCTGCGGTGGGGTTGGGTAATACACGCAGAGACCGGTCTCAGGACTCGTGTTCCCCGGGTGGGGGAGACTGGCACATGGCGGGGTCCCGGACACAGGTTTCACGGATACCTCTTACACAGCTGAGGTGACGTCACCCAGGGCTCTAAGGTTTAGCCATGGGGCGCGCACTGGAGGGACAGAGGGAAGGAGCTGGCCTCTCCACGGCCCATGCCCTCGAGCCTCTTCCTGGGATTTGGACACATGTACCACGTGATTTTCAAGACACTAGGTCCGGGGCGACCGGCCGCCGGCCAGTGGGACCCGGGGACTAAGCCTCCAGGCCACCTGCTGGCCGCACCGGCACGTCCACACTGCAGTGTCTGCGCCCACCCGCCCGCGCCCCAGGGGGGCTGTGGCATGTTCTCCTGGTGGTGTCAGGGGGGTGCTTGGAAACTGGAGGGGAGCCTTCTGGGTTTTGGATCAGGACTCGGGGGTGCTCAATCTTAACTCTCTCCATGCAAAACGTAGGGAAGACGAGAAGCGTGGAGATGGCCCGTGGGCCTGGGAGGTGGCACGTTCCGGACCACGAGGAGCCAATGTCCACGCACCACGACCTCCGGCCCAGACACTCCACTGGCTGAAGTGCTGTCCCCCGCCAGGGCGTGGTGCTGTCCCCAAGGATGCAGGACAGGGCATGGGGCGAGCGGCGCCCACTCACCAGGTACAGGACGCGGTAGGAGTGCCCGGTCAGCTTGGCCACCTGGGTCAGCGACGGGTACTTCCACACGAGGATCTGGTTCTGCGAGTAGCCGTGGGTGCTCACCTGCGGCGAGGGCTGCGGTCGGCACCGGGTGGGGCTCCCCGCCCTTGCCCACACCTGGAGCGCCTCCCACCAGCGGGAGGACGGCCCCGCGGACACCGGCTGGCCTGGGGCCGCTCACCAGCTCATTGGCGTGCTTGGACCAGGCCAGGTTGCAGACCTGGGAGCCCGTGTCGATGCACTGCAGCGGCTGCCCCGTCAGCGTGTTCCAGAAGCGGATGCAGCGGTCGGCCGGGCCGCCGCCCGACGCCAGCCGCCCCGGCCGGGGGGGGGGA